AGGACCGCAGACGACGCCCCGGACGGCCCAGCAGACGGCGGAGCGCACCGAACCCCGGCCGGGAAGAACCACAAGAAGATGACGGTGCCTCCTGGGGTCCCGCAAGGCGGCAGGGACTGAGGAAGGCCGCACAAGGGCGGCCTAGGCGAGGTGCGGAAGGCGTCGCGCTGGCTACTCTGGTACCCCCAGGACGGGGCAAGTGAACAGATCGGTCCCCCTCGTGGAGCGTGGCTCTGAGCCAGGAGGGTGCCCGGGTGTCGCCAGCTAGGGCTCTGGTACTGGAGGGAGGGGGTGGGCGCGGGACGGGCGGAGGGTGGGTCACGTGCGTCTGGGGAGTGCGGATGGCAACCTGGGTCCTTGCCAGAGACTGAGTCCGGTTAGAGAACAGGGTGGAGCCCCTTTGGACCTTAGAGCGGGGCCTTTGGGCCTTGGGTCTGGGTCAGGGCTGGGTCAGCCTCCAGGGAACAGCTGAGACTCCCCTTCCTTGGGGGTGACTGCAGGTTCTGTTTCTTTCAAGGTCTCATGAGGAGGCAGGGTCTCCACGCACTGGAATAGTGTCACCCACACACAAGGGCACAGAACCCAGGGACACAGGACGGCTGAGACACGCAGCTGGTGATGTCCCTCAGGACGGTGTCAACCAGTATGTAATCACATTCCACACAGCACCAACTGGACAGCGGCCTCCGATCACCCTCACTCTGACTGCGACCCCTCTCACTGGACAGCATCACCTGGACACAGAGCCTCACCCAGTCCGTGTCCCGTGGACCCAGCTTTACTTTGGGTGGTGACACCAAGAATACTCACCCCTTAGCCAGACCACAGGCAGCCACCTGGACACGAACATCTCTCCAGACTCACCCTCCATGCAGACTCCACAGCAGAACTCCCAGGGAGGCACCGGGACCATGGCTTCGGAACACCAGGCAGCCCTCTGGTGCCCAGCACCCACTCAGCCAGGACAGCCTGCAGCGGAGCCTGGAGCCAGCAGCTTCTCATCTCTTGGCCTCGGGAAATGTAGCTGGAGTCATCATTTAGCAGAGCACAGTGTCCCTGGGTTGGTCACCCAGCTTATTTTTTAAATAAAATAATGTAATCTTGGCCTAACCGTGGAATTTCTGACTGCTAGATTTTCTCCTTCCATCTGACCAGGGGAGTCAGACACAATGTGTAGGATAAGGGTGGGGGCCCTTCCCCCTCTGAGAGGAACCTGGAGAATCGCGGGTTCTGGTGAGGTAGGAGAGGGTCACTCAGAGGGCTCCCATGGAACAGACAGGCACACTGAGGCCTCAGTGGGATTAGGGCAGGAAATGCTCCTCTTGCAGTAGGGGACCGCGCCAGGTCACACACACCCCCCCGACTACGCCACATTAGGCTAAGGTCACTCTGTGCATTGTTTATTTCATTGTTTATTTCACATGGAGGGTCACCCACGGTTGACAGAAGCACAAGCTGAGCCCCAGGCCCATCAGAGCCCAGTGCACACCTGCTAGGGTGGGGGAAGAGCAGGGGCCTGTCGCTGGGACCCAGGCTCTGGAGGAGGCCAATACGGCGTGCCCCTTAAGAGGCTGCTGTGGGCGGAACTTATACGTGAGTGGTATGGGGCGAGACACCCAGGTGCCCCCACCTTGCTCTCTCTCACCTCCGTGGGAGCACTCCGGCCACCCCAC